CACCTGGAGCAGGCCCCGCCCTCGCGCACCACCTCCGCCTCCGAAAGCCACGGGGGTCACCGACCGCCGAGAAGGGACCTGCGGAGCGCAGCCCCGTCCATCCAGTCCATCCGGGCGGGCGGACTCGGGAGTCAGATGGCGCCCTGCGTTCAGGTGCATGAAGGTGGACGGGACCGAACGCAGGGACTGAGGCTGGGGCAGGGGGTGCAAAGGTCAGGGAAGGCGGCCGTGGGTTCTCCAGAAATCGGGAAGCTCGGGGACCTGCGGGGAGCTGTCACTGATGCTGTTTGAGGCTGCAACACCCGAGGGTGGGACTGGAAGGAGGTCGCCTGGGAGCTGCCGGCAGTGCCCACCGCTTGCTCCCGGGGTCCACCCCTCACTCACGCGCCTGCCCGCTGCCGCCAGACGCCCGGCTCTGCTCCTCCCTGCTTTCCGCGCTCTGCGCCTGCCTCTCACGGTTGCCACCGAGCCCACGACCGCAGGGGCAGGGACTCCGGCGGGGGGGGGGTGGGGCAGATTTCAGGTGGCCAGCCCCTGGAAAACCGCGGCGGCATCGGGGCAGGGGTGGGGGAAGAGCACAGAGCCCACGACGGGGCCCAGCACACCGGTGGGACGGAGGTGTGGCGGAGAAAGGACAGGCTCGGCTGGGATCTCTGAGCTCTCTGGCGCTGGCCGGGGGCCCCCGGGGACTCACACTCGTCCTCTCCGGGACTCGGCTTTCGCGTTCACGAAGGCCCCCAGATCCCAGCGGCTCGGGGAGCCCGGCTCCCCGGTGGGGGAAGATCGCCGTGGTGGTTCACGGGCACCGGGGAGTGAGTGGGGCCGTGAGCAGAACCGTCGGGCCCCGGGCTGGGGGTTCTCGAAGGAGAGTGTGCTGGCATTTTCGCTGCAGCTCAGGTAACTGCCAGCTGGAAAGCCGAAACTAATCCCACAGGCCGCGCCTGAGGGTGTGATGGCCTTAGTGGGAGTCGTGTCACCGCCGTGCCTGTGTGCGGGAGTGTTTCGGGGACGCTTTCCCACCGACCCAGAGGCACCTCTGTACGACCCCCGCAGCCATCCTCCCGAATCTCCCACTGACCTTGACCCTAACCTCCTTCGCCACCTCCCCCGGTGCCCCATCCCCCCGTCGTCCTGACAAGGGCGGAAACACAGTCGGAGAGAACAGTGTCTCTTGCTCCCTGACCCGGTCACAGCCGTGGGGGTCGGACAAGAGGCATCCGGCTGCTGCTTCCCGGGGGGCTCTGGCGGAGTCTTTCTGGGGGGGCCCTCCTTCCCCACCGGCAGGCGCACTGCGGGCCGGGGCCGCCAGACGCAGAAGGCCGAGCTCAGGGCCAGAGACCCGGTGGCACAAACAGTCCCCAGTCGGGCCGGAGGGAGGAGATTTGGAAGAGCCGGCATTAATCCCCGAGCTCATTCCTCCCACGGGGAGGGGACCAGGTGCGGCCGCGAGAACCGGTCCAGCAGGAATTTTCGGGGAGGCTGGCGCGGCCTCTGGGGCTGCACGCTTGACCGGGACAGGCCTGGTTTCCATGGCCTGCCGCCCACTCCGTGCCTGTCCTGAGCGTGGGGAGGCCCCGGCCCGGCGTCCTGGCCCCCTCGCCTCTGTGGGGGGCAGGGGCTCCGCTGGCCTGAGCGGGGAGGGCACCCAGTTTGGAGGACCTCTGCCTCCCACTGCCTTGTTTCGGCCCTGAAGGGACTTAGAGAAAATCAGTGGAATCCGCCCTTGAAAAGCAGCTACCGCTCACTGATGGACACAGCTTCCTTCTGGAGCTACTGGCAACGCAGGGAGGGAAACTCTGTGGTCGTGGGATGGCAGGTTCGGGCCCCAGTCGGGGTGTGTACGAGAGGCAACCGTCTGAGGTCTCTCTCTCACATGGAGGTGTTTCTCCCTCCCTCTCTTCCTCCCTTCCCACCTCTCTAAAATCAACAAACACGTCCTCGGGTCAGGATGAAAAAAAAAGGACACGGTTGCTGACTTCAAGATCTCATGAGCCGGCTGAACTGAAGAACACGTCCAAGTAACTTCGGTGCAACTCTGGGATGAGTGCTGAACGTCTGTTTACAAACACCCGTCATGGGAGAAAGGAGACTTTCTTTCTCTGTAAACACGAGAAGACCGCCCTGGCTGGCGTAGCTCAGTGGATTGACCGAAGGCTTGTGAACCAAAGTGTCACAGGTTCGATTCCCAGTCAGGGTACATTCCTGGGTTGCAGGCCACGGCCCCCAGCAACTACACATTGATGTTTCTCTCTCTCTCTATCTCTTCCTCCCTTCCCTCTCTAAAAATAAATAAATAAAATCTTAAAAAAAAAAAAAAACCCGAGAAGACTGAAAGCCCCGAGGCTGGAGTGGGCCCGGCAGGACAGGGGGCAGTCTGGCCGATCAGGAGGGGAGGGGATTAGTGAGGGGGGAAGGGGGGGGTACGGTTTGTGTGGGAGCTGAAACGTGAACCAGGGCCCAGCGCAGAAGGGCGAGGGCCGCGGTCTGAGGAAGGCCCTGGATGGGTGGGGGGATGGGGCCGCACGGTCGGACACCAGCCTGCGGAAGGCTGGGCCTCGGGGGTCGGAGCGCGTCCTGCGGGCAGCGGGGCGTCTGCAGGTGCGTGTTCCAGCGGGTCGGACGCTCTGAGCTGAGTTTGAGGAGGAGAGTCCTGGTGGTTGTGTGCGGGCTGGGGGTGGGGCTGGGTGCGCCGGGCAGCAGCAGGGAGACCGGCCTGGGGAAGGCCACAGGGACAGGGACGGAGCGGGTGGCCCAGGGGACTGGCGGCCAGCCACCAGCCCCACCCATCTCACGTTTCTGATGTCCAGCCAACCGTGCAGCCACGGGCCTGTTGGTGAAAGACTTGCGCTGACGCAGGCTTGGAGATCATCTAATCCTCGGTTTATTTTGCAGGTGAACTCGGACTCCAAGAGGTCGAGTTCCAAATCATGCTGTGTTTCAGCAAAGGGCTCAACTCTTCACGTTAACTCGTCATATAACCTGGAAAAGGGGTGTCCAACTCAACACGGCTTCCTTAAGTGCTCCGTAAACAGGCCAGCGGGAGCAGGGACAGGTGGACACGGGCTCCCGAGTGGGTTCCCAGCAGGTGCTCAGTGGGGTGGCGGGGACGCCCTCTCCCGGCACAGACACGGCCCAGGCTGACACTCGGACGTGAGAAGGAACACGACCCGCCCCCCCACTCACTTCCCTTCCCTTCACAGGGCCCGCTCTCCGTTGTCCGACTCTGTGCTTCTTTGTCCCGTCAAACTCCACGAGGCAAAACCTGGTCCTCCCTGTCCTGTGGCCCAGTTAATGCCAGACATCGGTCCCAGGGGGACCCAGCCGAGGAAACTGGGTGGAAAAACCAAGACAAGGCCTTACAGGTGACCTGTCCAGCAGGCTGGGGACATTGAACTTGACGGTGTCTAAGGAAGCTTCCAGAAGCCGACCTCTACGCTGCTGTGATGCTCGGGCCGACCATCACTCTGTCACCCCACCTTCTCAGCCCTGGGCCCGGCTCACCCGCCCTCCCCCTGCACACAGGGCTGGCGGTGGCCAGGGCAGGAGCGCGCTGGGTCAGACCGGTTCCAGCCGTCCCAGGAGGGCTCTGCCGCGTAGTTTCAGTCCCGACACGTGAGATTCCAGGCCCAGCTCGGGCAGGTGTGGGGGTAACACAGGGGCAGCGGCCAAGCCAGCAGCTTCCGCTTGGGGCAGACCATGGAGACAGGGACATTTCGGCTCTTGGCAAAGGTAGATAAGGAAAAAAATCTCCTATCTACGTTTCTAGCCCAAGGAGAACACAAAATCCGGAGGCAGAGAGACCCAGAAAGAATGCAAATTCTATGAGGCTCCCAGCTCCGTGGTGGGGCCTTTAAGAGGCTGCCTGGTCAGCACAGAAGCTCGGAGATGCCCGGCAGGTGGGACACAGGTGGCCGAGCACTCGGCAGGTACCAGGCACGGTGCTAAGTGTCTCCCCCTTGGTCCCCCATTATTCCATCTTTCCCGGCTGCTTTACAGGGGTGTCATTGACAAAATTATAAGATAGTAAAGCATAGAGTGTAACAGTGTGGTTTCCATGCGCACCACGAAAGGATGCCCCGCTTGAGCTAATTAACATGTCCATCACCCTTCTTTCCCCTTGGTGGGAACACTTAGGTTCCGCCCTTGGCGCATGTCAGTTAGGCAGCGCAGTGCTCTCAGCTGTAGCCACCGCGCTGGCCGTTAAATCCTCTGCCAGTTTCTTAGTCTCCGCAGCAAGCCCTTTAGGGAGGTTTTGTTAATGTTCCCATTTAACAGGCAAGAAAACCGAGGCTTAGAGACATCGAGGACATATTGCGAAGGTGTAAACGGCCGAGACGGGGGTTGACGCCAGGCCGGCTGACCTCAGAGCCCGCGTCTCCAGCGGCCCCGGACCGCGCACCGTCCGGCGGAATGAAGGAAGGAAGGAAGGAGGGTGAAACGTTCTGCTCTTCAACCACGCCTGTGTCGCGCACAGCGGGCGATGGGGCAGGACCCCGAAGGCCTGCCAAGCACAGTGACTCTCCACTACTGACGGCGTCTGTGTTTTCCGGTTCCCCTGTGTGCTCAGCGGCGTCTGCAACTCCAAAACCCACCCTCACGCTGCTCTTGTGGTCGTTCCCGAGCACACGGACAGCAGAGAGGGAAACCGAGTCACCGACACGCACACTCCCGGCTCAGGGCACCTGAGGCCACACTCGGGTGTCAGATTTCGCACTGTGAGTGTGTCCTTTTTACAGCCCCCGGAGTGCCAAGTTCTTCGCATTTTTGTGTGTTTCTGCTGGTGATCCCCCTGTTTAAACGGCTCCCGGGGCACTCGGGACAGTGGGAAAGCGCCGTCCCACGACCCTGACCCCGAGACGACGGTGACGCCCCCGTGTGGGCAGGCTTCACGCAGACAGTAGTGACGGTGCTGCTGGCCGTGAGCCCCGTGGGAACCGGTCGACAGCACGGGTGTAAAGAGGGGCCTCCAACAGGAAGCACCCCGAAAGCGAGGGCGGGTG